CAGTAGCAGTCACTGAAGTACATCTTCAGGTCACTCCATCAAGTCCGGAGTTAAAATCTCATCACAACTAACAAAATTATTCCAAACTCGGAACACCTATTACTACTCATCATCATAACTAACAAAACGGGTACAAACTCAGTATACCTAGTTATACTCGTCGAGGAATTCCAGTAGCATTTACCGAAGTATACCTTCAAGTTACTTCTCTAATCTGAAGGAAAGATATCATCATAATTAGAAAAACGAGCCTAAATTCTGCACACCTAGTTCTTCTAGTCAAGGAGTTCCAGTAGCAGTCACCAAAGTACATCTTCAGGTCACTCCATCAAGTTCATGGGTAAGATCTCATCATAACTAACAAAACGAGCCTAAAGTAGGCACACCTAGTTCTACTCGTCGAGGAGTTCCAGTAGCAGTGACCAAGTTCGTCTTCAGGTCTTAGTCATAGTTATCAATTTAGTAATAATTTAAGAATATCTACTACCTCATATCTTCCCGCGGGTGTCGTAAAAGGCGACAAGGGGAAACAGGTAGGAGATGGGCAGCAGCATCTTCCTGATAACAGCAAAATTACAATAAAAAACTGCGGTTACCATCCCGCTCGCCAAGCGTGGCAACTATGGCAAATACCCTCCAATGATGAGAGCAAGAAAGAGACGGCCCCCAGTCCCCGGTGGCCCTGCTATTCCTGGCTACGGTGGCGACCATGGTAACGGCGGGGCAGAGGGTGCTAATAATCTCCGGTGGAGGTTCAGTTGCCACCTACGACGACTCGACCTGGCAACTTATTACGCACGCACACTGAGTACTGACGAGAAGATCCTGGAGCTGGAAGAAGAGATAGACAAGTTGCGCTGGAATATCATAGGATTATCCGAGGTCAGAAGAGAGGGGGAGGACACCGTAATCCTCGAATCCGGCAACTTGTTCTATCACCGGGAGGGCGACCATCTGTCCCAAGGAGTTGTCGGATTTATCGTCCACAAGTCTCTCGTTAACAATGTTGTAAAGATTGGGAGTGGCTCGACGATGGTTGCGTACCTTATACTCAGATTCACCAAACGGTATTCGCTAAAGGTCATACAGGTTTACGCACCAACCTCGGCACACCTCGATGAAAAGGTGGAGGAAATGTATGAGGATAACTCTAGAGCCATGCATTCCTCCAAAACCCACTATACGGTGTTAATGGGAGACTTCATCGCAAAACTAGGCACAAGAGAGAATGGTGAGCTGAAAGTAGGGAAATTCGGATTAAGGCAACGGAACCCAAAGGACCAGCAGCTGGCTGACTTTATGGAGAAAGAGGGACTCGTTATGATAAACTCTTTCTTCCAGAAGCGGCCCCACAGGAAGTGGACCTGGTCGAGCCCCGACGGTTTGACAAAAAATGAGATTGACTTCATCATGACGACCAGACGACAACTGTTAAGTGATGTCTCCGTGATTGCGAGGGTGAAAATTGGTAGCGATCACCGAATGGTTAGAGGCACACTGAACCTAAACGTTAACGTTGGAGAGGTGTCGTCTAATGAAGTCAACGCTCCGTCACCCTCGTGCTCTAGTCCAAAGTCTCGAAACCTTTCAGCTCGAGTTACAAAACCATTTTCAGTGCCTAGAAGACTGCAATGAAGTGGATGAAATGAATGACAAGATCGTGGAAACTATCTATGCGGTCGGAGCTAAGATTTCTATTTTATAGGATATGGTGAAAAACGAGCACACAGTCCACCTGATGGTAAGTGGTTACTATGACACATAGACATCTACATCTATACTGTATAAAGCAATAAAGACTCAAAATGCAGATACGTTGTCACCCGTGAGAACTAAGATGGAATGCCTCTTGTCCAGTTAAAAAACGGTCTCCGGTTCTCTACACTCACCATACGAAACACAGCAGCGTTAAGCTGCTATTATACGCAGGTATTCTGTGAGAGCGTGGTCCTTCCCCGGTCGAGCCGACCCATTCGTGCTACAACTATACTACTAATATAGATGCAGCATGGCTCTACCCTTTTCTGCAAGACCCACCGCAGAAGAAGCAGGTGGAGGAAATGTATAAGGATATATCTAGAGCCACGCATTCCTCCAAAACCCACAATACGGTGTTGATGGGAGACTTCAACGCAAATTCGATGGATGCAGGTGGCTAAGGACCGTGTTTTGTGGCATTCCTTGGGGGTGGCCTATGTTCAGCAGTGGACTTATGAAAGGCTGTAATGATGATGATGATGAAGTTCTCACGAAAACTTGAGAGAAAATTATAAACTGAAGTTTACGCATTTAGGTGATGGTGTTCGCGAAGAACGTAATATATTCATGATATCGTTATTAGGTGCCGGTGTGCGCGCGGTTTATAAAATTTCATAATTTTTCCCAAACGCACCAAAAGAACTATAACTTCAAAAACTATACAGTCGAAATGAGTACCTCCTCCTTTTTAAAATCAGTTAAAAATCTAAATGTTTTTTAACAATTACAACTCAGAATATAGACTAGGATGAGAGATTATTGAAATCCAAATATCAGTTTTTTTTTTAAATTTAATATTTGATTAATAAAATTGTTATAATTTATATAATATGTCATTTTCTCATAATTTTATTAAGAATAATAAAATCAGATTTCTCGTTTAGAATAAGTTTTTATTCAAGAAGTCATAAATAAACTCGAGAAGCCACTTGAGTTATAGAATCGAAATATTTTCACCATCATCAAATTTATTGAAAGGAAATTCTGACATTAAATTTCGCAAACAAATTATAAGATTTTGTGAGAAAATATGAATCGAGTTATGAGAGTAACTTTGGTTATTTGACTGCACTTAATTACTTTATAACGACGACTCGTGCATATATTGCGCGGTTAAAATAATAAAAGCAATTTACCTTCATAAAGTCAATAAAACTTTACAAACAGTTTTTCGCGTTGTCGTAGCGGCGAACAATATCCACTATCCAATAACTTCTCGTAGGTGACGTATTAGGCTACAGAAAGAAATAAAACAGGACGTAGGCAGCAGCATCTACCAGACAGCAACTAAAATAAGTATAATGAAAAAAATGTGGTTGTCAGTCGCAGGTTTTGTAATTCCAGATTGCAAATATCCCCCCATGAGGCAATCTATGTGACAAATGATGACATATAGAGCAGCATCAATACCAATCGTTGTGTGTATCTTCTCAAAAACGCACGCAAGTTGTTGCATTCATTTATCTTAAATAGGATGACTAAAATTTTTCTTGAAAACTTTAACAGAGCTACTAATAGTCTCCATTCGCCCTACTGCACTGTTAGGAATAGGGTTAATTTTATTTCCGAAAGGATGGAGCAGGAAAGAGTCCAGCTCTATGCCACAATGCATATTGGCGAATTTCGCATGTCTTCTTTTTTTATTCCTCAATCTGACTATTTCGTTTGTCTAGTGGTTGTAGCGACAACTGATCATGAGGTTCCGGGTTCAAATCCCGGGTTGGTCCAAAAATCAGTTATTGAGCGTTTCCATCATAAATTCTCAGTAGCTGCCAGGAGTCAGGAAGTTGGCGGTGTTTCAACCCTGTTCCTCCGAAAGCACGTAAAGACGTTGGTCGTGTGCCTGATCTCTCTTCGATCGTGTGGGTTTACCATCCCATCGTGAGAGCGAGGGAATAGTCAGTGTACCTGTGCTTGTGCATACAATTGTGCACTATAATCCTGTCCTGCGCCGATGGCTAGTCTCCGTTGAAGCTGGTCGCCGTGACGGAAATTCAGTCTGTATTATTATTATACCACAAACCAAACTAAGGTATATATATGAAGTAATCTAAATTTTAATTAAACAAATAAAAGTAATATAAATTGAAAATTATTAATAAATGTGCTTGCTTAAATGAAAATAAGTGATGCTACAATAGTTGAAATAACAATTTCATGACTAAAATAAGTTTTATAACATGCAACAAAAAATTCGAAGCGAGTTCTTATCTTCCGAGCTCCCATAGCGTTAAAACTTTATTACTTTTTTAATAAAAATAAACAGAATAATCTTTACACTAGAAAGTACTTCGATAAAATAAAAGTCGATAAGACTTAACAGGCGTAAGATCAAGAAAAATACAATACAATACTAACACTTAGCATGCTGCCTCAGAATTCCCGATTACAATGGATGAGCTAAGCGAGAAAATTATCTCGTTAGATCGCTTGTGAAAGAGGATAAAATTTTCCTTTTATAGCTTTATCGTTGCTTTGCTCACGTAAGTATTTATATCATAAAGGGGCGTCATCATAAAAATTCGTAATAAAAGTCCTCATTACGTCGTAAATAATTGCGATAGAAATTGTCGTCACTAAAGATATGGGAATACACAATGACAGTAAATTCGTCAGATTTAACATATTGGATATTGGATAATTGGATATAAGAATATACGATCTTACTTATAATCGTTGATTATCGCTTACTAAAATTAAGTATTATTTTATACCTGTCTCTTTCTATTGTCATTTAGTACAAAGAGAAAGAGCAACTTTAAGCATTATTTTTTCGCACTGCTATTTGGCGGAATAAATAGGTAAGAGCGTGGAACCTACCCAGATGGACTATTTGACAGAAATGGAGTCCTACTACCTAGAAACTGTATAAAAATGTAACTAATAAAACGGGGTAATTGGTAGTAGAGCCACGCTCCAGCTACATTTAGGTTGTAGCACGAATCGTTCGACTCGGCCGGGGTATGACCACGCTCTCACAGAATACCTTTTTTCATTTTTACTGTGTTTCATATGGTGAATGTAGAAAATTTGAGCCTCCTTTTACTGGAAACGAGGCATTGCATCTTAGTCTCCAGGGGTGACAAAACATCTGCATTTTGATTCTTAATCGAGAATAAATGTAGATGTCTGTGAGGTACAGCATCCAAATACCATCAGGTAGAATGTGTGCTCGTTTGTTACCCTTATTCTACAAAAATATGTAACTTATTTTCGTAACGATTATTTTTCTGTCTTTACAGATATTATGCACCATGGAAGAATACAACGAAACTTTAGATTTAAACCATTCCGAGCCCTACCAGCCATATTATGAAAGGCCAGAAACTTACATAGTCCCACTCATATTCGCCCTAATTTTTGTCGTCGGTGTAGTCGGTAATGGGACCCTTGTTGCCGTTTTTATAAGACACAAGGCCATGAGGAATGTACCCAACACGTGAGTAATATTATTTGTAAATTCATAAATATTTAGTTTATTATATAATGTGAAGTTTATTAATATAAAATAAACCATAAGCGTAAATAAGGTAGGATAGAGTATAATATACTTGAGAGGATATATCATCATCATCATCACAAGTTTCATTCACAAGTCCACTGCTGAACATAGGCCTCTACCAAAGAATGCCACAAAACGGTTCTAAGCCACCTGTATCCATCGACTTCCGGACTCCTGGCAATTTTCTCCATGTCTTACGAGGTCGTCACTCCATCTAGTGGAGGGATGCCCTAGGTCCATTGCCACTTCAGCTTACTAATCCGTTGGACTATGTTGGTCACTCTGGTTCTACTGCGGATATCCTTATTTCTAATTTTATTATGCAGAGAAACTCCGAGCATAGCCCTTTCCATAGCTCGCTGAGCTACCTTGCGCTTCCTCATCCGACCAGCAGTGAAGGATCACGTCTCAGTTCCCTAAGTTATCACTAGCAACACGCACTGGTTGCTCAGTCTCGTTTTCAAGTTTTGAGGTATACCTGACGAGAAGATGTGCTATGATTTCTCGTCGCTGCCCAGCCGAGGTTAATCCGTCGATTGACCTCTCGGTCGAAGTTGGTCTTACCTAGTCGGACTATTTGTCCCAGGAAAACATACTCGTCAACAACTTTGAGTTTATTGCTCCCAACAACTACCGACATAGGTGTGACATGGACGTTATACATGATCGTTGTTACGAATATGTCCATGTTCATTTTAAGACCTATCTGTTGGGAGGCACTATTGAGGTAATTGAGCATAGTGATTAGTTCCTCCAGGGTTATGCTATAAGAACTATATCGTCGACAAATCGAAGGTGAGTGATGTACTCGCCGTTGATGTTAATACCGTATCCTTTCCAGTCCAGAAGCTTTAAAACGTCTTCCAATTCAGTAGTGAAGAGTTTCGGGGATATAACCTCACCCTGTCTTACACCTCTCTGCAGTTGGATAGATTTTGTACACTGGTTTTGTACTCGGATAGCTATCGTAGCCCTACTGTACAAACACTTCAGCACTTCGATATACCGACAATGTACTTGGCATCGCTGGAGGGACTGCAGCACCGCCTAAATTTCAACGAAATTAAAGGCTTTCTCATAGTCCACACACGACAGACATAGTGGCGAATTGTATTCCTCAGACTTCTATACAATTTTCCAGAGGGTATCTATGTGGTCTATGGTGCTAAAGCCTTCTCGGAAACTGGCTTCTTCGGGAGGTTGGAAGTCGTCGATTGTGCATGCGAGACGATTCGTAATGACTCTTGAAAACAGCACGTAGACGCGGCTGAGAAGGGAAATCTGTAGTTCTTCAAGAGAGCGTTGTCACCTTTCTTGAAGAACAAGATCACTGCACTTCTGCTTCACGTCTCCGGTGTAGTACCACCATGGAGGAAGGAAGTAAAGAGACTGAAGTAAGGACTTAAAGTACAGGTTTTCCACCCGCTTTCAGAAGTTCCGCCGTAATTCCATCCTCGCCTGGGGCCTTGCCGTTTTTTAGGGCTGGAAAGCCATTATATTCTCGCTTAGACTGACGTCCGGAATTTCTTCGGAATAGTGTCGGATAAAACTTGCTCTTGGATCGTTACTCACACTTGCGTGCGGTTTCAACGATGACGTGTACAGCTGCCCATAGAACGACCTCTCAATCTCACTCAAAATCTCATGTGTCACGGAAATGACGCTGCCACACACAGTTTTCAGAGATATGTCTTTCTGGCAAACAGATCTCTGGCAAAGACTTTGGAGCCCTAGTTCCGCTCGATCGCTTCTTCAATACGAGTAGTATTAAAGTTGTGTAAGTCCCGCCTTATGCATTTGGATATCTGCCTGTTCAGTTGCTGTATACTGTCGAATCTGCTGAGGACTGCAGCTTCATTTCCCGTCTAACAGCCATGAGATTAAGAGTGTGATCGGAGAGTTTTTGTGTTCTTCTGCGGTGGATCTTGCAAAACTCCTCCAATCGCAAGGACAGTTTCGACGAGCTAGTCATTATCACAATATCGTCCAGTCCATTGCAATCTTCTAGGTACTGGAAAAGGTTTCGTAGCTCGCGCTGAAAGGCTTCATGACTTTGATTAGAGCACGAGGAGGACGGAGCGTTGACATCATTAGACCGACCTCTCCAACTTAATATTTAGGTTCAGAGTGCCTAAATCGTCGGGGCTCGACCAGGTCCACTTCTTGTGGAGTCTCTTCTGGAAGAAAGAGTTCATCAATAAGAGTCCCTATTTCTCCATAAAGTAGGCCAGCTGCTGGCTCCTTGGGTTTAGGTTAAGTGTTTCTTCAGCTTACTGTTCTCTCTTTTGCCTAGTTTTGCGTTGAAGTCTCCCATTTACATCGTATAGTGGGTTTTGGAGGAATTCGTGGCTCTAGATATATCCTCATATATTTCCTCCACCTGCTGATCGGTATGTGCCGAGATTAGTTCGTAAACCTGAATAACCTTCAGCGAATATCGTTGGTGATTCTGAGTATAAGGTACGCAACCTTCGTCGATAAACTCTCAATATTTACAACGTTGTTACCGAGAGACTTATGGACGATAAATCCGACACATCTTTGAGACAGACTGTCGCCTTTCCGGTGATAGAACAAATTGCCAGATTCGAGGATTACCATATCCTCCCCCTCTCTTCTGACCTCAGATAATAGTTAGGAATAACTTGTGTGTATACCATCCCATATGTCAGTCACCACGTAAGCCAGGTCCAGATGTTTTGTTTTCTTATCTATTGAGACTTTCACGAGGTTTTTGTCATACAGAATGGTAATATTGACCTAAAATATCTTCCTCTGTACCCGGTGAATCACCCCAATATCAAGCTTATTCGCAAGAACAGTCCTGTCTGTGAGAACGACCATATTTGAATAGAGACTGGCATTTTAATTTAGAAGTACGGTTTTTTACGAGTATATACTCGTTAAATAAGGCAGGCACTTTACTCCAGCGCAAGTTCCTGATGTAGGATTTTAGCTAGTAGGCTATGTCAGTGAAAAAACTTAGAGTTAGAAGGCACCTATACGTGCCTATTTGTGTGGATAAGTGGTCCATTTAGCGATTAGTAGAACTTTCCGTGCAGCTCCTTCTCTATAGTTTCTTGGCTCGAAATGGTTTTCACTGCCGGGTCCTACCTTTCTTCGTTCATTATTCATGTGAGATAAATTAAATTTGAGTTTTATATATGACAAAAGAGTTACCGCATGCAGTTTAATTACATTTAAGCTCACATAATAATTTTAATAATTGAATACAAAAGCCAACTTTACCACAACTTTTTCATAAAACTGAAGTGACAAACAGACTTACAGTAAGTGGCTACCGAAGGACTAGATGTAGATGTCTATGCATATACACATGTAATGTAAACCATAAGCGTAAATTTGTATTTGGTTGTCTAAGCATAAGTTGGTTTGTCTGTTGGTTACTATTTGTTGGACTGTGTGCACCTTTGTCACCCATATTGTGCATGCAGTGCATGCTGTGGCCCATAGACATCTTCATATATTCTCGGTTAAGTATCAAAATGCAGATGAATTTTCACGCCACCATGCGAAACACGGCAGTATACTGCTATTTCACGCTAGTATCCTGTGAGAGCGTGGTCCTTTCTCGGTAAATAAAGTGGAAGACTCTTGCCTTGTCAAACTCAACTCTTTCAATAAATATTGGTTACTGAATATCCCCCAGTTTCAAATTACTATGCTTCTTGTCTGCTTATTCTTTTCTATCCCTTATACTTCACAAATTTGTAGCAAATTTCTTTTATTTTCAGGTACATTTTATCTTTAGCGTTAGCAGATCTTCTAGTCATCATCACATGCGTTCCATTTACTTCAATCGTTTACACGGTAGAGTCCTGGCCCTGGGGCTCTACAGTGTGTCGGGTGTCGGAAGCTGCCAAGGATGTCAGCATTGGGGTATCCGTGTTCACCTTAACTGCTCTGTCAGCCGACCGTTACTTTGCCATCGTAGATCCTCTTAGGAAGCTACATGCTACAGGTGAGTTGATTCTAAATGTCTGGCTTATCCAATTTAATTTCATGATCGTGATTGTTTGAATTAAAGTTCGGTAAGTTCACTGCCACGCAGTAGCAGTTTTAGACAAACTATTACTTTGATCACATATGTCTTAAAAATCAACTTAAATGTAGAAAACCTAAAACAGGGTGTAATAATTAAAATATGTCTCTAAATTACCAGACCGGTAACCTGGACAAAGTTAAAAGCGCGAGGCTTTAGGAAAGATTTCTTTTTAAAGTTACATAAAAAAGTTTGAATATAAGAAAAATATTCATTATTTAAGTTCAATAGAAGCTTTTGCCGCAAAACAAAACTATTTATAATACTACAAAAAGAAATTAAAAACAGTTTGGCTTTTAACCTCACACAAATACCACTCAGCAATTAACGGCATTCACTAACAGCATTGTAAGGCATCTAGATGAGTAAAAACACATATTGGTAGTGTTTATAGACTATAGTATGGCTTTCGATACACTTAGTAATTATCAAACATAGTATGAACGATAGTGATATAAGAGGAACACTGCAGACGCGGTGTAAAGATTATCTCACCGATAGAAAATATGTGGTAAAAGTGGGTTATTTAATAAGCAACTAAGTAAATATATCTGTGGGCACAGCACAAGGCTCGGTCATAGGAACTTTACACTACATTACCTATGTTAATAGTCTGGTTAATATTATCAGGCAATGTGAAATGTACCAGTATGCTGATAGAACTTATTTGGTTGCGGCTGGGAGTAATATCAACATGACACTCAGTCTCATACAAAACAATTTTAATATTCTTATAAAGTGATGATTAGTCTTTAATGCTGCTAAGACCAAGTTAATGTATATTAGCTCTAGTCAAATAGGAGTAAGGTTATACCTAGGCTTATTGCGCATGACTATATGCTAAAAAAATTGCCTTATATTTAATTTCAAATATATAAATATATTTAATTTAATTGCAAATATCCCCGCTACCATCAAGCTATCAGCAATCTATGGGGGAGGCCCATGTTTAGCAGTGGAATTTAATAGGCTGTAACGATAACGAATTTATAAGTATAACCAAAGATAAACATCATGAGAGGACTTTTAATAATTTATGATAAATTTTTTGGAATAATATTAATTCTACAGCCATTTCCGTCATATTGCAGTCACGTGTACATTTTTCGATGGTGTTACTTACAACGCTGAGCAAGCAGATAAGTAAGCGTAGAGTTCCGACCTTCGTATTGGTAGGGCTGCTACCTATATCCAGGGTTACAGATAAAACCCCACAGACTGGTTATAAATAGCAGCAAAATGAAGATTGAGGATCACCAGACCCTTTCCCATAATCGTCACTCTTGGCAGGCGCTGACGATGCTTGTCGTCGCCTGTCTGGATATTTCACGCTTAGCGTAAAGTCATGGTTATACCACTATCTATCGAAAGCCATAAAATTATTCTGGCATTGCCCGTTATTGCCTTTGACGATACCTATAGGAAATCACGTGTTGATCTCATATTTAATTGTATGTAATTTTCATTAGCTGTAACGAATGTATGAACGAAATTTAACTTTAAGAAAACTGCTATGAATTTCAATGGAGTATACAAAAAAAAAGGTTATCCCTAACTTCCTTATGTTACACTAACACTATTAAATAAAAAATTATGTTTACATCAAAACATACTAATATGGATTTCACACTTGACTGCTATAAAGCTAACATCTACGTGTAATATATTTTTGACATCTTTTGTTTGTCTTTACTATTATAGATTCAGCGAAAACCGGCTTATTTTTTCTTTCTTATAAAATCCATATAAACATGGAATCTATAAATCACAGACTAACAGGGAACACTAAAAATTTAAACCTATTAATAACATTTTTACGGATTTTATCGCGTTTAATTAATTTATTTTTAAATCCCTACGATTCAGGTGCTTTGCAGCACTCATGGTCACATGGGGGAATCCCCCCGACAAGTAAGTAAAATGCGATAAAACTCGTAAAAGTAGTTTTATTCATTGTTTAGTGTTGCGTTAATATAATAAATCATTAATATAAACTAGTTATAAAACGAAATCGGCTTGCGCTTGTTGTTGCAGGCAAATAAATTTTTTCACAATATTATTTTATAATCTGCTTAATAACAATACCCCCTGGTATTGAAGTCAAGGATTGGTTAAACTATGCAATACTATGCTAGAATTCGGAGCTGTAGTCAAGTTTTCAACAAATTCTATAATTCGGTTTTGTAGTTTAGTGCCAAAAACAGAAAATCACAAAATTTGGACTCTATAGATCTCAGGTCAAGTTGTTGATGAATTTTATATTTACACTGTAAGAAGACCGGAGCGAAACACATCTGGCTACCTACCGTAAAGAAAGAAGTTGTTCTTTCCTGCCTGATCAGATAGTATTATTATATACTTTAACGTAATAAAGCACTCGAAGCCAAGCTTTTAGTATATATTTTTAGACGCACTACGCACTTCAGGTACTCATGAATGAGGAGGAGAATTCAAATAAATATGTATGTTTTATATAAACTGATCTAATGCATGAATGGAATTCCCAGTTTCTTACCCATGTAGATGTACTAAAATAAGAAAAACAAACAATGTGTCGAAGAAATGTTTGGATGTCTTATTTCATATTGCTTTTAAAATCAACGGCAAAATATTTTCCAATAATGATAAATGTACAACATGTAGTGATCAAATGAGATCTACGTAGCTATGGAATGTTATGTTTTGATACTTGTCTTGTATCGACAATTGTCACCGACTACCATGTTGGTCTAGCGGTCGTAAAGGCGACTACTCCTCATGGATCCCGGGTTCAAATCCTGAGTCAGGCCAAAAAATTATTAAGTTTTTTTTGTCAATAAATTTTTAAAAGCTGCCAGGAGTAAGGAATTTGGCAGTGTCCTGGATCTAATCTCAACCCAATCGTGTCGGTTTACCGTCCCATTGGACTATAAGAGAAAGGGAATAGAGAGTGCACCTGTGCTTGCACTCGGGCACTTTAAATGCTGTCCTGCGCAGATGGCTAGCCTCCGTTGAGGCTGGGCGCCGTGACCGAAATTCAGTCTGGAGGAGATTGGCTTTTATATTAACGTGCCTGAGGACATTAATTAAATGCCATTCTGCCCGCAATTATAACGTATTCTTATCTTTCAATTCATAATACAGCAGAAGGTGTTGCTACTATCGGACTCCTACAAGTTATAACACATATCAAAGCAGTTTCTTATTTTAACGAATCTAAGCCCGTATTTGACTACTAACCCATCTGATGGTAAGTGGTGACGCAGTGGAATATGGTAAAGAGCACTGACTTAGCTTAACAAAAGACTATTCACTCATGCCGTGAAGACACCCTCATTTCAATCACATTACACATTGCAATCAGATGGAAAGACAGATGCTGGCAACTTATTTCATTCTTTTGCAATATGAATAACAAACGATGTGGCAACAGTTCTACAAAGAAGAGGTGAAGACTGGCCAATATCCTTACTTCAAAACTTGAGATCCTACCCATTTTTTGCAACGATAATATAGCTATAGGATGGCTCTTCAACATTATAAATTACGGCTTATTTCTATTTATTAGCGTTATTTATATTTTCTTTAACAACAAGAACACAGAGTTACTAAACATTTATATAATGCACGGAGTAGATAGATGCAGGTGTCTTTAGCACATAATAATAATAATAATATTTTAATACATGATAAGCATCACAGGCTACAGAAGATATCTTCTTAATATTAGTTCATATTTTCTAAATTATGCTGACTTAGTCCTTGTTATACGTTGCCCTTATATGTATAAATAGGTAATATTAATTGATTTAATCATTTAACGCGTAAATATTTCTTAACAACGAAACATGATTGATTCTTTTTTAATTTAATTTAATTTATTTATTTAGAAAACCAACAGCGTATATAGAAAATATTAACATTAATGTAACAAACTAAAAGTATGGCCAATAACAGGTTTCCCTTATATTGTTTGATGGTAGGTGTATTGTTGTTAGAAGAAAAGGAAAAAGAACAATCTAATAGATAAATTATAAGCAAAATTATAAGCAATTCAATGTAATGAAGGTGGTCATAAGTTTACAGATCAGGAGAGATAGTCAGGTAGAATGATATATTACATTACCTTTATATATATATAAATATATATATATATATATATATATATATATATATATATATATATATATAAACATATTAGATATATATATATATATATACACATACATATATATTTACTTATGTTTATATACATATTAAATGTTTAAATATATAAACATAATACAAATAATTAATTATAATATATATTAAATAAAATAACTTAAGTACTTATATTTATATTAGTAGCCTCAAAAATACATATAGAAGAAATAGATGAGAGAATATATGATTGTATGTGATTTTAACTTCAACTGCTCTATTTCGTAATAGTTTTCTTGATGTAATCTTTAAACGTAAGTTTAGATTTCGCAAAGAGGTCAATGTGTCCAAATTGTTCATTATATGTACGAGCAAGCCGCGAAAGAACAGTGTTTCGACAGTAGTTTGAATGATGCCAGGGAGTTTGTAACAATGTAGTATTGCGGGTACGGAATTTTGGAGTACGAAAGGTGATTCTTGAGACAAGATATGGACAGTCAATATTACTGTTTATTATATCATATAACAAAGCCATGTCAAGCAAAATGCGCCTGTGTTCCAGAGATAAGAGATCGTGCTCAGTGCAACTGTCTGTGTAAGTATCGATTTTATTCCGACAGCGAAAGTTAAGGTGATTAACAAATATTTTTTGAATACGCTCAAGGCGGCTTTTGTAGACATTGTACTGTGGAGACCATATTGAACTAGCATATTCCAAAACACTTCTGACATATGCAAAATAAACCATTTTAATTGTATTAATATTCGAGAATGGTTTACAGATGCGAAGAACAAAACCA